TATATATATATATATATATATATATATATATATATATATAAATATGTATGTATGTATGTATGTATGTATAAATAAAAAATGATAAGACATTTTAATTCAAATAAAAAAAATATACGACAATGAACAATAAGAAATTGTTGAGTCAAATCGAATGAGCATATATTTACAATTTATAATTTTGTAAGTTTGATTGAATGAGTATAATAACAATAATGCTTGAACGTTTGAATGTTTGAATTTGTAATATAATAACTGTGTGTACACTATATTGCAAATATATGTTCATTATACTGACAATTTGGTTAATGTTTTCTATTTTATATATTTTATTCAAATTACATTATATAGGTATATAACTTGTAATTATACATCGACTAATAATTTATATACATCTGTCTATCCAGATACTTTCTAAATTTCTTGGAATGAAATTTTATTTAAAAAGTAGAATAACCACACGAATTCGAATCGTTTTTCACTCATGTAGAGTGATTTGTTTACTCTGAATCGTAGAGTAAATATTTTCACTTGAAATTGAAGAATGAATTTAATGCGTTTGGAATTTATAAATGTCTTAACATTCTCCAGATCTAGAGTTATTAAACATTTCTAGCCAAACGCATAATAATAAGAAAACACTATAATAATAAAAAAAAAAAGAAGAGTAAGAAGATTGTAGCCACTTTCTCGATTAATTAATAATCATAATAAACATGTATCTAGGAACAAATGCATCTAATAAAAAATATTTAGTAATTCTCAATCTAGGAAATGATAAGGCATTTATGAATTATGCTGTACTCTATAGTCACAGAAATACATTCACTCTAATCGACTAAAACATTCGCTCACATGTGGAGTCAGAATCCACTCTAAACTTGAATAAAACATATACGATTTCGAGTGGTACTCTCTTAAAGTGAATCAGTAAAAACGTTTTTTGATCAATGATTAAACCATTAAAATGACTAATTCACCGATTCACCGATGATCAGTCAATGTACACTGATTTTCAGTGAAAACACTCCCTCTTTGCCATCATTTTATTTCTTTCTGACTTTGATTAATGGAAATAAGATTTTATTGCAAAATCTATTGCAATATAATAAATAAATTCGATATACGCAGAGTTGAGAAGTAATACGTTATTTATAACGCCGTTATCGTTATTGCTACTTTTTTCAATAACAATCATTACATTTTCTGTTTGTAACGGTAATATCGTTACATTTTTATATTTTATAATGTAACGGAGGGACGCTTTGACCCCGTTATGTCATACACCGTTATGTTTAACATTTCTTGTTTTTTTCCTTTTCTTTTGTAATTGTCTATCTTTGTTAAATTTATTATTGTATATAGCTGTATATAGCTGTATTCCGTTCTTATCATTGTATATAGCCGTATTCCGTTTATATAATTAGTTAATTAGTTCATTGATTCTATTTCTATATACAAGGTATCCCAGACCTCCATGATCACACTTTGTGAGAATATAGAACAGATTAAGGTGAGTAAAAAAGTCCCGTGCAGTTTTGCGATATTCGCAATAGTTTTCGAGAAATTAATTATTTTATCTGAAATAATCAGCGCACGGGAAGCGGCAGCCGAAAGAAAGATGTCTTCAGCTGACGCGCGACCGTGATACACGTGAATCGCGACTCGCTGCGTTCCTCCGCCCACAGTTACGAGACACAGCGAGGTTTGATATACTAACACATGTGCATGACACACATATCCGTGTATCGAATCGACGCCGAATCTAAGAGTGCGTCGCTTTGTTATTTCACCTCTACATATATATATGCAGCCGAAGCGACGACACGCTTCGATTCGCTGTCGATTCGGCATACGGATATATCAGGCACATGAGTTAGTGTATCAAGCTTCACTGTGTCTCGTAGCTATGGACGGAGGGACGCAGCTAGTTGCAATTTGCGTATATCGCGGTCGCGCGCCGGCCGAAGACATCTTTCTTTCGGCTGCCGCTTCCTGTGCGCTGATTAGCTCAGATAAAATAATTAATTTCTTGAAAATCATTGCGAATATCGTACGGCACGGGACTATTTAACCCGTTCTACATTCTTACAAAGCGTGATCATGGAAGTCTGGGACACCCTGTATATAGTTTAGTTCTGTCAGCAAATATATCCATATAAGAACAAGACTGGTTAAGACTTCTTAATCTCGCTTACCGGGTCGAGCGCTCAATAGTATCATTAACCGCCGCTACGCGGCGCATGCCAGGGGCCAAACCAGCACTCGAAGTTAAATCGCGTCCAACGACAGGAAAGGGGAGTCGCGAGGCTCCTACAGAGCTGCTAATTCGCGAATTTTTCT